AATGACGATTATATGATGTTTAAGATGCATCTCCGCTGTTGGTTGTAATATTGAAGTAAATCCACACTTTGCTGAAGAAGCGTTAGCAAACTCTTGAGCAGCAACAACAGTACCATGTACACCGCCATTGTTGTGTACGTTTGTCCGCACTTGCCTTTAAAATTGACACGTACTACGCACGCGCATGACGTCACCGTTTTCAAAGATTCCCGTTTTGTGTGTTTAAAGTGCAAATTTAAAACGGAAAACGGAAATGACAATGGTGCCGTTTTCAGAAACTTGCGCTTTAAAACCCGTTTTCAAAAATATGCATTTTTAGTCCCCAAAACGCTGTTGTCATGTAAACGAACAGGCAAAACACATAAAAAGTTTCCCGTTTTTGGCTGAAAACGTCGTGTAAACGGCCCCTAAGTTGTGACAAAAACCCATAAGACACCTGCGAAATACGCGACAAAAGCTATTTCGCCATCTGAAGTTAAATACCAAAGGTTGCTGCTATAAGTCATTTATTAGCCATTTTGCTTTCTCCATTTTCATTTGTTTGGGTCGTTCGCAAGCTAGCCTTCTGTTATGCTGCTGAACAAGCCAAAAACACACTACGCAAGTACGCTAACGCAACATACGAGCACATTGTCCCATTTAAACATATGTTTGTTTTCAAAGATTCCCGTATTGGGTGTTTACACGGAAATGATAACGTGCCATTTTCATTTTATTTACTTTACCTGTTAGTGATGTCTTAATTATTTAATGTACATGTTTAAATAAATATTTTATGAAACAAGTTATAAGTTCATTTAAAAACAACTGACATGTTTGCATACCATTTTTTTATTTGAGTGTTGATTATTATAGTTAAAAATAAATAGTAATTGAATTTAAGTTTGGGCTCTGCTGTTAATTGTAACCTTATAGTAATGTAAAAGGGCTCCCTATAGTTTAGAGCAGAAGCTGAGGTAGATTTTTATTAGCAAACTCTTGAGCAGCAACAACAGTACCATGTCCTCCGCCATTGTTGTGTATGTTTGATCGCGCTTGCCTTTAAAATCAAAACGTACTGCGCATGTCTACATACCTAACACATACTACACATGCGCATTTCGTCACCGTTTTCAAAGATTCCCGTATTGGGTGTACACGGAAATGATAACGTGCCATTTTCAAAAACTTGCACGTTGAAACCCGTTTTCAAAAATATGCGTTTTCAGTCCCCAAAACGCCGTTGTTGTGTAAACGACCCCCCAAGTCTAGCGAAGAGCATTTTGTGATTAGATTATACGTCATTTTATTTACTTTACCTGTTAGTGATGTCTTAATTATTTAATGTACATGTTTAAATAAATATTTTATGAAACAAGTTATAAGTTCATTTAAAAACAACTGACATGTTTGCATACCATTTTTTTATTTGAGTGTTGATTATTATAGTTAAAAATAAATAGTAATTGAATTTAAGTTTGGGCTCTGCTGTTAATTGTAACCTTATAGTAATGTAAAAGGGCTCCCTATATGCGATTTATCGTGCAGCCCTATCCTACATAATAAATTACTTGCACGTAATTACATGCAACTAAGTCTACATGCAATAATAAGCTCTGTAATGATATCTTAAATTCAGACGCCTGATGTTTGGAAATGCAGTAGCCTAAAATTAGCATTAAAACATGGATGAAAACATATCTGTTCATATAACTGCATCAGAATAAAAAAAATGTTTAAGGGTACAGATATAGTTGCTAGCCTACATACAGTAATTTTTGTATTTTTGGGGGATGAAATGTGACCTGGACATGTTTCTTGACAGGTTTTATCGTGCAGCCCTATCCTACATAATAAATTACTTACATAAAAATCCTACATAAAAGTCTACATGCAATAATAAGCGCTGTAATGATATCTTAAATTCAGACGCCTGATGTTTGGAAATGCAGTAGCCTAAAATTAGCATTAAAACATTTGGATGAAAACATATCTGTTCATATAACTGCATCAGAATAAAAAAAATGTTTAAGGGTACAGATATAGTTGCTAGCCTACATACAGTAATTTTTGTATTTTTGGGGGATGAAATGTGACCTGGACATGTTTCTTGACAGGTTTCATGAGGTTCCTAATATAATAAACACCCTCTCTCACCTCTCCATCCCATCTCCGATCAGCTCCTCTCCGTCCTCCTCATCAGGAATAATGTCTCCCAGAATCCCCTCGGACTCGTCCTCAAACGGGGGCAGGTCTCTGCCGGGGCTGGAGGTCAGGTCCCCCCGCCGTGAACCACGACTGGGGCTGGTGGCCATGTGCAATGACTCTGATGAATCCTGTTTTGAAGCCAAAAAAAAAAAGTTAGTGTTGTATAAAGCAAAAGTCTTTACACTAGAACTGAAAGAGAAGGACTAAAGGTCAATGTGGAAAATGCACGTAACATACGTGTAACTACATCAGGCTGGGACACTGAAAATAAATATCATTACTTTTTGAAAAACAGACCTGTCAGTCAGCCAACATGTTAAATACTGAAGCACTACTATAATATAATTTAAGAAATGTCAGTTATAACTTGTAACAACTGTTGAACCACAACAAAGAAACTAGTTTTACCCACGTGGGCCCTTTTAGGCTGACTTAACTCTTCAACAGACAATATTCTTAATACATTTTTATGAATATATGACATATGTCAGTTTTATTGAAGGTAAAAGCATACATTTCCGTCATATGTATATAGTTCTTAAAATTGTTTTTGTAATAAACAAAATAATTTGACAGTTAGTTACAACAAAAACATGTAATACAGAAATCGAATTAAAATCACAACGTATGTGTAAATATGAACGTATATTTATTGTATTGAGTTTATTGTAATATCTAGATCCTTACATTTCAACCTTATTAGACAAGCCATGCACACTTCGCATAATCTCGAACACGTCTACAAACTTAAAATACTTTAAAACGCATTTGAACTACATTCAAACGATTTATTTACATATATATAAATAATATACACAAATACACTCACCGCCATCTTCTCACGTCCGTCCTAAGCAGCGATTCGACTGTAGACTATTTTCCCGGGAAGACTGACTTTTCGCGCGAAATGCTCCACGTGACCACAAAGCGCGCGAAGCGCTATGAATATGTATTGAGGAGCGCGTCTGAGGACTGTGATTGGTCCGGTGGCAGCCGCGTCGTCCCGAACTGAATGTTCATTGGTTTGACGCGTGAAAAGGGGCGGACATATTAGGATTGACAGAGAATAGATAAGAAAAGCACTAAACTAAAGAGTGAAGGTTCGCATTTTATCTTAAATAAAAACAAGCCGTTTCTACAGTGAAGAGTCACATAAGTCCTCAGATGTATCTATATTTAAAATAAAACGAACTAGATTTTTTACATTTTCTAATGAAAACATGAGTGGTGTTTCTTTGTGGAAATAATTTCATTTAAATTCGAACAAAATTACGCACATTCTTAAGAACAGTATGTTATTATTTTAGTATGAATTTAAGAATCAATAGAAGATAAAGAATGTCCATACAACAATGATTCTTAGTATTCACAATATTTAATCAATCTTTCACAACTTTGGACAATAATAGTACTCTTCAGTTACATTATTCTCTAGTGTATTAATTGGCCCCTAAAGTGCACATTGCCTGCATACTTTTCAAGCACCTCTCAACAGTATGTACAGAACTGGCACAGTCACAGCAAATGCAGCACATGTCAAGACTGTATTGTATAGACTTGTTTTGTTGATCTGGGCCTCCAGCCTTTTCTCAGTTTGACCGAGACCTTGAACGACTGTCTCTGTATCGCATACAAAGAGCTGCGTGTCTCGGGTTTGAATGACTGGCTTCTCTACGGGACGGGACTGTAGGGTCGTCTTGACCGCCTGCAGCTCGGTCTCAACCTTCCCCACGTTCTCCTCCAGATGCTCCAGCTGCGGTTTAAGGCTTTCAATGAGCCCTTGGGCTCTTTGGCTGTGTTGGAGAATCTCTTGAATCGCTTCTTCTGAAGCACTGGATGCAGAAGTTGGGACGACGGCAGCTGCTGGCGGAACAAACGCTGGTTTGGCTGTTTTCACATCTTTTACGCTGCCTTTCAAAGCCATCCTGAGTGAGTCGATGAGGTTGCTGAGTTCATCTTGTTGCATTTTGTGCATGCTGGCTTGGACCTTGATGGCTTCTTGAAGACTCACCGGTCCCTTCTGGGCCTCCAGCAACAAGCTCTTGAGTTCCTGCAAACGTACCCGGTTTATATAAGTGGAGCCCATTACCCCAATGACGGCGCCCAACACCGAACCAATAATGGACCAGTTTTTGGTACGTTCGGCCCTGGTCCTCTCTTTCTCGTGGCTCCCTCGCACGGCAGCAGAGAAGAGCGCAAACTTCTCTCGCTCGCCGCCTTCTGCATTCTCATAGGCCGTTCTGAGACGCCGTTCTTCCTGTAAACGACAAAAACGTAAAAGGGAAGGTGCAATTGTGCAATCCATAAACGTATAAGGCTGGGCGAAAAAACGATAATGATAATTATAGCGATAAAAATGTCCTCGATAAAAGGATAACAAGAGTTTGATACAGTGGTTATGCACCAAAAGCAGAACGAAACAGCGCTACCTTATTTGAACTGCACCACACTTACCGTTTATCCGCTCGGCTTATAGTTCAAATGGCAGCACAGTGCGAGCTTTCTAGCGCAGATGCATTTACTCGCTGATAAGTCTCGGTCATGCAAGCACTTAGCGCTGTGAGATCCAGTGTGAAGCGCTTAAGTTCAGCGAAGAACACAAACGACTTTAAAGCCAGATGAAACAGCGCTGACAAACAGGAGAAACACTGTGTACAACGATAGTCAGAAGGATTTTCAGTCTATAAATCGCCATAATTTACCAAGGCTTTACTGTTTTATCACTAACTGCACCATGGTATTGTGGCAGAAATGTGGGATATTCATACAGAATTTTATTATATTATTATGTAGACATGTATTAAATGTATAAAAGGAGTAATGGAATACAGTATTTTGGTGATTAAGCTATAGCGTTTGTGCAGTTATACTAAATGCATTTAGACTACTGTTTTTCATTCAGATCCCTAGAAACCATACAGCTACATTTTTACCATGGTATTGAGGTGCTATATGTGTAGTTTTAACTGTGGTTATCATGATCTAAATGTATGCTACTATGGAAGACCAATGGTTAATTTTAATAAAACTCAAACCATAAAAAAAAATGAGGTTGTTACAATTTTTACAGATGTTACTGTTTTTGATAATGAACTTAATTTTACATCTGCAACCTAACTCGAGCTTCTACTACTGTTAGTCTACTCAAGCTACTGTCAAATGTGCATTTCTGAGAGACAAAAAAATTGAATATTAAAAATGTTTAATAGACAACAAATAATTATTAATATTGCAGCCCGCACTGCAAACTGTGCTGAAGATTATGATTAGAAGTTAGAACGTGCAGAAACTAAGAAATTTTATTTTTCTATCAAGATACTTATTTTGTTAAGGAAAAATGCCTGGAAAAGTGTAAAGAATTCAGACGTTTTTGTCATGTTTTGATCATAAAGAGTAGTTTAAAACCACAGTTAACTGTCTGGTTTCTACAACTTTCACTTAGGGGCAAAAATCTGCCTTCAAACTTGAAATTTATTGTGATAATTATCGATATCGACTGATATGAAAAATTACGTTCGGCCCTGGTCCTCTCTTTCTCGTGGCTCCCTCGCACGGCAGCAGAGAAGAGCGCAAACTTCTCTCGCTCGCCGCCTTCTGCATTCTCATAGGCCGTTCTGAGACGCCGTTCTTCCTGTAAACGACAAAAACGTAAAAGGGAAGGTGCAATTGTGCAATCCATAAACGTATAAGGCTGGGCGAAAAAACGATAATGATAATTATAGCGATAAAAATGTCCTCGATAAAAGGATAACAAGAGTTTGATACAGTGGTTATGCACCAAAAGCAGAACGAAACAGCGCTACCTTATTTGAACTGCACCACACTTACCGTTTATCCGCTCGGCTTATAGTTCAAATGGCAGCACAGTGCGAGCTTTCTAGCGCAGATGCATTTACTCGCTGATAAGTCTCGGTCATGCAAGCACTTAGCGCTGTGAGATCCAGTGTGAAGCGCTTAAGTTCAGCGAAGAACACAAACGACTTTAAAGCCAGATGAAACAGCGCTGACAAACAGGAGAAACACTGTGTACAACGATAGTCAGAAGGATTTTCAGTCTATAAATCGCCATAATTTACCAAGGCTTTACTGTTTTATCACTAACTGCACCATGGTATTGTGGCAGAAATGTGGGATATTCATACAGAATTTTATTATATTATTATGTAGACATGTATTAAATGTATAAAAGGAGTAATGGAATACAGTATTTTGGTGATTAAGCTATAGCGTTTGTGCAGTTATACTAAATGCATTTAGACTACTGTTTTTCATTCAGATCCCTAGAAACCATACAGCTACATTTTTACCATGGTATTGAGGTGCTATATGTGTAGTTTTAACTGTGGTTATCATGATCTAAATGTATGCTACTATGGAAGACCAATGGTTAATTTTAATAAAACTCAAACCATAAAAAAAAATGAGGTTGTTACAATTTTTACAGATGTTACTGTTTTTGATAATGAACTTAATTTTACATCTGCAACCTAACTCGAGCTTCTACTACTGTTAGTCTACTCAAGCTACTGTCAAATGTGCATTTCTGAGAGACAAAAAAATTGAATATTAAAAATGTTTAATAGACAACAAATAATTATTAATATTGCAGCCCGCACTGCAAACTGTGCTGAAGATTATGATTAGAAGTTAGAACGTGCAGAAACTAAGAAATTTTATTTTTCTATCAAGATACTTATTTTGTTAAGGAAAAATGCCTGGAAAAGTGTAAAGAATTCAGACGTTTTTGTCATGTTTTGATCATAAAGAGTAGTTTAAAACCACAGTTAACTGTCTGGTTTCTACAACTTTCACTTAGGGGCAAAAATCTGCCTTCAAACTTGAAATTTATTGTGATAATTATCGATATCGACTGATATGAAAAATTTTTGGCCATATCACTCCCAGTCCTATATGCGTACATTACTAGGTCCACCTCACCTGCAGTAACTTATGTTCCAGTGTGGCTAACTCTAAGTAATGTGCCTCTTCACGAGACACGCGGTCCAAACGGTCCCTCACTTCCTTCAGCCGAACCTGAAGAGCCTCCAGGCTGGCGTGAGCTTCTCTGACGATTCCTCTGGCGACCATGAAGGCCTTTTCAGCCTAACAGCAAAACATAATTCAGATTATACTGACATTTAAATGAATCCAACAGTGATTATGCTTACATGCAATAACTAGGTTAGTTAGAATGAATCCAAAAGGTAGCCTATTTTTGAATCCGATTTCGAAGAAATCCAATCAAAATTTCATTTGGATTGAGCACAATGAGATCAACTGAGGTTTTTACGTGAAGGCTTTTCAATTTGATTGAGCAACCAATTTGATTACTTGGATACATGTAAGCGTAGCTAATAAAAGGTGCATTTTTCATGTTTTGTTTGCCATACATTACCTCAGTGACATTGGACTGTGCATCTCGGACTTCATTAAGCCCGACAAACTCCTCATATCTCTCCCACCAGTAGTTGACGCTCACTGTTGCGGTTTTCATCGCATTTCGCCCCCACTGCCTTCCCAGCTCTCCTGCGTACGTTAACGCAGATGCTGTGCGCTCTTTAACGGATGTAACTTTATTGGGCTCATCTTTCGGACTTTGCTGCTGGGTGCAGTAACTTCTGTGGAGGATCCACTGGACCGGGCCGGACACCTGGTGTCGGTAGAGACATGTGGAGACATGGCTGCTTGGAAATACAGTGTTCCCTCTGAACCTCATTGAAGAGCTTCATATGTGGAGCCGACGCACGTCAAATATGCAACCTGTAAACGTAATAAAAATTATTCATGAGATGGTATCACCACATGAAAAAAAAACGATAGTAATTTATAGTAAATACTAGTGTTTTTGAACCATGGTATAGTAAAGTACTAGAATTTGTTGTGGTAATTCTATAGTTGCTGTGGTAACAACTATAGTAATATAAACAAATTACTGTACTAAGTTCTCTACAACTATAGGGTATATTATACTACAATACACTACAGTTAACTGTAGTAAAAGCTAAAGTGTACTACAGTATGTATCATCAGTTCTCTATAGTTAATACTACAGTATGCTGCTGTAGCCTTCATTAACAAAGTGTTGTAAATGCTATAATATACACAGTATAATACACTTTTCAGTACCATGGTTTAAAAACACTATAGTATTTACTATAAATAGTATTTTTTCATGTGGGCAGTGATGTTTTTTTTAGCTGAACTAGCTAACTTTATTTGTATTTGCAAGGCTACACGAATGGATATAAAAAAAACATGTATTAGGAAAGGAGCAAATACATCAAATAGACGGTTAACAATATTAAAGTGACTAAATAGGTAATTGAACTGAATTTAGTTTCGGATTCAGTTTGCATTTTTCAAAGTCAGAAACACAACATAACGTTAAAGTAAAGTTGTCCGTGTTGGTAATTTACTTTACAAGTGAATTACACAGGAATAAAAATAATTATGTTCAAAGTAAGTATGATACGCTGATGTTGCTGTTATGTGTGTGATTTTCGAGCGGATGAATCAAACAACTAATGTCGGCAAACAATGTCTAACTGAATTAATTTCAAAACTCATACCAGCGTTTCTCCGTTTCGTGCCGTTTCTGCTCGGGTCAGTAATTTCTCATGTTTACAGGCTGAACAGTATATAAAATATCTGTCAAATTTCCTGAAATGGCATTCTGCGGCATGAGAGAGCATTTCTTTCAGGCACAGACTGGTGCTCTTTTCGATAGATTCTTTTTTAACGATTCAATTGAACCGATTCGAGAATTATAAATAAATAAATCCCTCGGCTGTCTATAAGATTTGTTTTTTGATTGCATTAACCAATAATTTAAAACAAACAACAGTAGGTAGATTATAAGATTAGGAATAAAACCGTGAGGTTGACTCAAACTAATCAAATTAGTTTTTGAACCAGTTCATTTCCTCTAACCGTCCGAACGAACCGATTCGCCTAAATGAATCAGACACTTGACCGCAACACTACATCCGGGTAACCGCTGAGGTCAAGACAGCGCGGAAAAACGCATTAGCTAAACAATCTGAGCATCATGTCTGGAAGAGACGGTAAAAATTAAAACACAAACGCTAGACATGACTATTTCATCATGTAGAAAGTCGTATGAAATACAAACAAGAAGTTACGATGATTTTTTAGGCTTTTTATGGATTGTAAGCTTGTTGATTTTCTAATCTTTGTATTCACGATGCTATCAGCATTAGCCGGATTAAGACGTTCCACATTGTAATGAATGGGTTAACTCGGTGTTGGGTTTCTCTTTTTATTGTTACAATGAAAATCTATTTTAAATCCATTATTTATTTTAATAAATGTGTATATTAAACATTTATAACTTTTATTTATCGATGTTAAAATGATATCCAAATACTTATTTTTGCAGGAGGTAAAAAGAAACCCCTCAAGGCTCCCAAAAAGCAGTCGAAGGAGATGGACGATGTAAGTTCACCTGTACATTGAGGTTTCTGTTGAAGTGTTTCGACATAAACACTGAGATCACGGTTTGTGGACAGAGATAAGCTGCTTAGAGTGAAGTAATGACTAGGGAACATGATTTTGAAATACTGCTTTATACATTTTCTTTACCGGTTTAATCCCCTACAGGAGGACATGGCTTTCAAACAGAAGCAGAAAGAGGATCAGAAAGCTATGGAACAGTTGAAAGCCAAGGCTTCTGGAAAAGGACCTTTAAGTAAGAGAAACATAAAGCCACCCGAAATCATTCTTTATAGTTTTTGAGTTTTTCTTTAGTCAACAATCAATTCTGTTTTGTTCTCTTTCCACAGCTGGAGGAGGAATCAAGAAGTCTGGGAAGAAATGAATGTGTTTTAGTGTATATCTGCTTGCCATTTAAACCACCGACTCATGATTTGGGCCCACAGTGGCGACTAAAAATGACTTTTTTTTAGTTTACATTTCTCTTGTAAAGGAATAAAGTTTGTAATGACTGTACATTTCAATTTCAGATGTTTAATGTCTTTGTGAAACATTCAAAGCTCGTGAAAAATAACTACAATATCCGAACGTTTCAAGTAAACTTCAGTCTCATGTAAACAATCACAGAAGTGTTTGTACAAGCTTATCCATCTGTCACACTTTTATTGTCCACAAATGTTCCGTCTCACAATATCATCTTTGTTCAACCTAAACACAAAAACTTGTGTTTTTAATCATTTTGCTGCCGTCCGTGTCTCTTGCATTTGTTTAAGCTGCTTTTTTTAGTTCAGCTTCACTTGTACTGGATAGTGGTCACTCACTCTCAGCGCCTGTGGAGAAGATACCTGTGCTTTAGTAAAATGCTGATCAAGTCCTCTCCAAAACAAATACATTTTGTAAGCTAAATGTACAGTAATAAGTAACTCAAGTCTTTATGGTAAGTGTGATTAAAAAGCAAGGGTTTCAATTCAAATAAAAAATGATTCTTGTTTACTTCCGTATCTGTTAGACTGTAGGCCGCCTGGAAGTTGAATGATTTCGCAGAGTTTGGAACAACAGCATTCCTCATATCGTCTCCATATACCACAATCCTGTGCATGAATATGTGTCACATTAAAGAGAGTGGCATCAAATCAAATTCGTTAGTTTGTGCGGTGTGATTATTTATCGATCGTAAGTATATCTATTGTTGTTGCTGGCTGTGGTGTCCACACCATCCTCGATCAACCAATGGAAGTCTTCCTCCCAGATTCTGTTTTTTTTCTTGGCTGCCTCGGACAGATATGTGCCATCTGCGTTGAAGTCCCCCAAAATCATGATGTTCTGTATCGATAAGTATATAAAAAAATGTGCTGTATCAACTTTTTTTTTAGAACAAATCTGGCATTGGATGCTGATTGGTCAAAAAAATGTTCCGGCTGTTCTTAATTCCACAAAACAGTAACAGCTCTGTTATGTCTTGACATGTCAAGACTAAATCTAACAGAATGATGACATTTAATAAACATTCTATAAACCTAATAAATGTATTATTTTGTCACCATTTTGGTAAAGGAATAATGGCTTCTAGTATCTTATTCCTTCATAAATAGTATATTGAGGCTTTGGAGCCAAAGATGAAATCAATAAGTGAACATTTATCATGAATGTAGCTGCTTGTGTTGTCTGGTCTTGCTTTGTGTTTTACTTTAGTGCCCCATTTCTTCTGGACAGCTTTAAACACATCATACAGTTCGTCAATTTCCCTCTCTGCATCATCTGGCTTTGTGTGGACTGGTATCATCACCAAATCTTCCAACTCTGTTGAGACACGAGTACAATTAATTTAAATGAATAAACTTGTGTCCACATACACACACCCTCTGTTGGAGCTCAGCCACTGACATTTCTGTTTCAATTGTTTTGACTGTCAATTGCATAAACTGGTAATGATGATATTACAATTTGACTTTTATCATTTTCTTGAAGCTTGACTTTATAGTCAGCTGAAAGGTCTGGGGCCATTGAAAATGTTGAAAAATATGCTGCATGGTACAATACTGTGCCAAAATCATGACTCTTTTAACCTATAATTTGTTACACTAAAATAATAATAGACAATTACAGCACATCTATGCCATACTTTACCTGTGTTATGACAGTTGAATCGCAAAACATACGGTTCTCTGGCGAAAGCATCTTCATCTCCTGGCTGATTGTCTTCATATTGGTAAGGCCCGACCAAATCCACCACTTTGTCCCTTTATATTGAAAATGCAGTTATAAGCATATATATATATATATATTTATATGAAGACTTCAGATGCAAAAACCTCTAAGTCCGTCTGAGATTTTTGTTTTAAATAAGCTTTTTTTTTTTATCAGACTCTTATGAAAATATCATTGGACATTTTTTAAAGTAAGGCATAACCAACAAATAACCTTTTCTTTGCCAGTGAAATGAAATTACTGAACCTTAACATAGGAGCCTGATAAAAATGCTAATTTTAAAGAAAAAATCTCAGACAGACTTAGAGGACTCGCATCTGAAGTATTCATCTTATTAGTCGGGAAGTCGTGGCCTAATGGTTAGAGAGTCGGACTCGCAACCCAAAGGTTGTGGGTTTGAATCTCGTACTGGCAGGGATTGTAGGTGGGGGGAGTGAATGTACAGCACTCTCTCCCACCTTCAATACCATGACTGAGGTGCCCTTGAGCAAGGCACCGAACCCCCA